TCCTACTGTAAAATGGGCAGAGTGACAGCTGCTGCCCCTTTTGGAGGCATCCAAAGGAGCGTCACCAGGCTTCACGGCCAGCCCCAGCCCGTACAGGGGGAACAGCCAGGGATTTAGCTCAGCGGTTCGGTGGTCTGCCTTTGCAAGCGCAAGGACCCAAGTTCAATCCCCAGTACCAAAAAAAACCAAAAAAAAAAAAATGGTTCAGCCCATACAGGGGGAACAGGCACAGCAGGCTGGCCCCGTGCAGGGACACAGGGACACCGGTACGCGGACACAGTGGGGTCCACAAGGTTCTGGGTTGGTGGCGGGAGCGTGGAGCATGGGAGGGGCCAGCTGGGGAGAACAGGAGGCGCAGCTGGATGGCAAATGAGGGGCAGGGGCAGAAAGCAAACAGCTGGACACCCCACCCCTGCCCAGCCCCAGCAGGCCTGGCCCTTAGCTCTTTCCAAAGTGGGAACAGCTTCTGACCCACAGAAAAGACACACAAACAAAAACACAAACCCAGCCCCATCCAAGGCAGAGCCCAGCAATCCTCTGGCAGGAAAAGGGAGGAAACTCGTGGCCCTGAGCGCTTCTCTGGGACGGCTCACATCTCACAACAATCCTGAGGTCACCACAACAGCTTAGGAGGTCGAAACTAAGTCTCTGAGAGGGTGAGTCACTTGCCTGAGGTCACACAGCTGGGGAGGCAGAAGCGGGAATTCACTGGCAGAGGGCCAGGCTGAAATTTGACTCAAGCTACCTTTCCCAGCAGGGACACAGAGGTGCAGGCCCTAGGAAAGCGCTGGCCCATGCAGTGTTGGCCTCACCCCAAAGGGGAACCTCCCCGAAGACCCCCAGCGCTACAGGACACAGGAGCCAGAGGACACCCAAGCCTGGCCCAGCCGGGGCGATGCTGGCAGGCGGACACACTGACATCAGGGAAGCCACAGCACGGCAGAGCCCAGGGCCTCCCAGATTCCACAAAGCCTGGATACAGAAGACCAAGGACACCAGGCGTGGCCCGGCCTCAGCAGCGGCAGACCCAACATGTGTGCCTGGTGGCTTCTTCCAACACAGATGGCAGCTGGGGAAGCCGCCACCTGCAAGCCGCTGGAGGAGGGGCCATGCCAGGCCCAGGGCAACTGAGCGACGTGCAGTGGTCACACGCGAGCCAGGACGCAGGCCAGCATCTTCTCCGGGTGCCTGTCCAGAAGCCAGGCAAGAGAGACAGCGCTGAGCCCCAGCAGACCTGGGTTCTGACTGGGCCCACGCACACTCGTCCTGGGCCATGGGCAGGCTTCACACATCCACCCTTATGGGAAAGAATTCTTCCTTTGGATTTTTGGGACAGTGTCACCCCGCGTAGCCCAGGCTGGCCTTGAGCTCTCGGCAATCCTCCTGCCTCAGCCTCTTGAATGCCAGGGTTACAGGAGTGCATTGGCACAGGAGAGCATTCTCTGGGTGAGTGGCAACCTTATATCACTGGAACAAAGCACCTGAGAAGATCACTCTGAAGTAGGAAGGATTTCTTTGGGCTCATTGGTCTCAGTCTGTGGTCACCCTCGTGTCCCACCGGCCCACCTGGCTGGCAGCTGGGTCCTGGTTGTCTGCTCAGAGGACACCTGTCTTGGAGTTCCACCCACTGGTGACCCCGAGAGGAGACAAATGTCATTCAGGGGCAGGGCTTCTCTGCAGTATTTTCAGGGTTTGGCAGCACCACAACCCAAACCCCCGCCTGGTCCCGGGCCCCCACGGTGTCTAAATGGCCACATTCCCACCCACGTGGCTGCCACATCCCCAGCCAATCCGGGCCAGCACTTCTTCTGGGGACACAGCTCGGTATTGTCACTGGAGGGAGGAGAGCAACAACACCCTAAGCCTGTGACCGTCCCCAGCCTGTGGCTCCGCCACCCCGGGCAGCTGGGCGCCCCCACCATTGGTCTGCATCGCAGCTGCAGCCCATGTGCTCGGTATCTCCGGGGACAACTGGGGGGGGTCACAACCAAGGCCCCGGTGACCGCCACGGAGAGGGACACGCCCCGGGCCTGCTCTCCTGGACGCCCCCTGCCATTCCCGACGGTGGTAGCATGGGGTGCTGAGGTGCAAACCCCACTGCCCTCCAGGATCTCCCACAGGTTCCCAAACGTGCCCATGTCCCTCTAGAGAACGCTGCGGCATCTGCAGGGCGCTCTGCCCATCCTCCGCGCCTCGTCCACAGCTCAGATCTCCACACTGTGTGACTGCCGGGGTCTGGATCTCACCCACCAGACCCCGAGCCCCGCGCGGGCAAGTTCCGCCTGCATCTGCCCAACACAGGCTCCGACCAGGCACTCGAAGGGGGGAAGATGCCCGAAGAACCCGGTGCCACCACTTTGGTCCTACGCACCCACGAGCAAGTGGCCTGTGCTCCGGGAAGCTCACTTTCCACTCGGGGAAAGACGGGGGCTGCTTTGGGGTGGAAGGGCTTCATCACCACACCTCCCACAACAGTGTCTGGCACAAGGCACAAGTGCCACGTGGTGTCTGCAACTGGGTTTCTCCACTGTCCCGGGTGTCCCTGCAGTGGGGACCCCCGCCCCGGAGAATCCGGGAACTGGAGACCTAGGAAGGGCCTCCATCCTGCCCCGCTTCCCCGGAACACAGGTTTACAGGGCTGGTCCAGGCTCCTGACCTCCTGAGGGCCACCTCCCCCGGGGTCCCCCCATGGCAGGGCGGGGTCCCCCCATGTCAGGGTGGGAGCGGGAAAAGCCGCACTCCCAAAGCCCCCCAGTGATGGCAGACATCGGGCTCCCTCCCCAGCGCTGGGCGCCGGGCATGTGGCTTCCATCAGGCTACATCTGGAGGTGCTCAGAGGCAGGACGTGTCCACCGAGGATCCCTGGCACAGCTCCACTCCTACACAGGACCCCCGCCCCAAGTCTGGGCCTGGGGTGATGGCTGGAAACCTCCTTCCCCAGGCCCCAGGCTGCCATGGCAACACGGCTAGGGGGTCATTTCTGGCCCATCGCGGCGGCCTCTTGCAGGGTTTGCCCTGAGACCAGCACCCCAGCTTCTCCATCCAGGGCCCCAACAGGACCGGGCCCCCCCCCAGCTCTCCCTACAACGGCAGCCAGGTCCAAACCCCACTTCCCTATCCAGATGTCCCATCAGGTGGCCAACCCCTACCCATGAGGCCTCCTGTCACCCACAGCTGTTTATCTGCCCAGTGCCCCCACCCCATCGGAGCCCAGGGGACAGGGGATGCTGCGCCTGCCGGGCTCCCTGCCCAACCCGGCATGGACGGGGTGATCCCTGAATGTCTCTGGGGAGCAGATGGCGGACAATAACCGCTCACACTTCTAATTACTCAGCTCCTTCAACCCTCAAAACAGGCTTCTCTGCAGCCAAGATGGAGAAACTGAGGCACAAGGCAGCCAGCCACCTGCTCCAGTTACATGGGTCATGGAGTCAGCGCACACACTGGGGTGATGGGCAACCCCTGGGTGTCCAGAAGGAAGACAGAGGAGTGATGGACGTTTATCTGGCCAGGGCCTGGCTCCTGGGCCCCACCCCCACCCCCGTGCATTCCCTGCACACCCAGAGCTGTGGCTGCCTTGCAGAACCATGCTCCACTCCGGGACAGCCCAGAGCCCAGGGAAGGGACCGCATCAAAGGCCACGCCCACATCTACCAGCGAGAGCCCACGGGAGAAAAAAGCCAACCTGGGCCTGAGAGCAAAGCAGTTTCCCAGACTGCACAGCCCAGTGCCCACCTGCTTTGGAAATGCTGCTGGGCCCGCTGCTCCCCAACCAGCTGCACCCCTCTGGGCACACAGCACACATGCAGCTCATGACAGTCCCCCAAGCGCCCTCTCGGGCTCTGGGCTGGGGCTGGGGGAGGAGACTCCACTCACAGCAGGAGAGAGGGGACCTGCAGCCTGGGACCGGGCAGGGGCTCTGCAGAGCGTCCCACTCTTACCACAGCAGGAAGGCACAGGCTGCACACAGCCCACGCCCAGCAGTATCCAAGCAGGCGAGAGGGCCTAGGCCCACAGCCCCAGGCAGCAGTAGCCTAAGAACACTGGAAATCCCAGAGGCCCTGCTCCCGCTCCTAGCAAGCCTTCCTCCCCAGATCCCAGCCTGGCCTCCTCCTGCACAGGTCAGCCCCAGGGACAGCCCCCCACCCCCCCACCCCTGACTCACTCCCCAGGCCCCCTGGCCCTGCTCCCTGCTGACATCTGAGCAAGGATTGCAGAGGTGTGACAAAGGAGAGAGCCCTGGAAACCAGACACCTCCCAGAGCACCTGAGAGAGGTGGAGAGAAAACAGAGCTGCAAGGGAAGGGGGTGAGTCCAGATCCAAAGATGCCGGTGGGCTTCCTGGGGAGGTGTTGGCAGGCACAGCATCTGCGACAAGGAAACTCAGGCTAGGAGGGATGGCTAAGAGAGGAGGCAGCCTGACAGACACACTCCTCCAACACCTACGGAGCACCAACTGTGTACATGGCCCTCCTGGAGGCCCTGGGGCTCAGTGTGCCAGATGTGATTCCCTGAGTGCTAAGCCTGAGTGCTAAACCATACAATAACAATGAGCAAGCATCTGAGGAACTATGCGCCGTATGTTAGGAGAAATTAAAACAGGTTAAGAAGAAAGAGGGATGACCAGAAAAGGAGTCCCTGGGGAGAAGAACTGAGCAGAGGGAAGAAAGAAGCCATGCAGATGCCTAGAATGCATCTCAGGAGAAGGTACAGCAAGTGCAAAGGCCCTGCAGCAGGAAGCTGCCTGGCCAGGAGGCCAGTGAGGCTTTGCAGATTAAGTGAGGCAGAGGAGGAGGAACAGGGTCTGCAAAGCCCTACATGTCCTACTGAGATGCCCACAGGCCCTACCTGGTCCCAAGAGACCCTGCTTTGATGAGGGACCTCCCAACACCTCCCAGGACAGGGACCTCACCCCACCCACCACCCACCTACAGAAGCCAGCTGTTCAAGGCCCCAGTTGGTGACCAGAAACCCTGGAGGAACAGGAAAGAGTCCTCTTACCTTCAGGGCTGCTTCTGGGGACAGAATGGACAGAATTGGGGTCTGTGTCCTCCTCTGCCCGGGAACGGGGTAGAACCGGCCGGTGCTCAGGCACTTCCTGGGTGGGCAGGACCCAGGCCTCCTTGTGCAGTGGCTCAGCCAGGATGGGATGGGTGCTGGGTTTAACTGGACCCTCAGGAGGGCTCAGCATGGCCCGTGACGGGACAACACCGGCGGGGCCTGACCCTGGCAGGGGTGCGGGACCCTCCTTCCTGGCACTGCGAGGGGTGGCCTGGGCATCCGGGATGAGGTTTTCCTCGGGCGCTGCCTTGGCTTCTGCCTGCTCTTCCTGGACAGCTACAGTGGGTCTCGCTGGGGCCTCAGTGGGCAGCCTGTCCAGCACCCCGAGGTCCCCCGCTGCCAGCCGATCCGTGACTGCTGCTCCCTCTTCCCCCTCCTCCTTGTCCTCTTCAGTGTCCTCCGTCACCCTCCTGGCTTTGGCCTGCACAGGGGCCGGGGGACCTAAGGCAGCAGCTGCCGTGGGCCTGGGGAGAATGGCTGACCAGGGAGAGGCCTGGATGGTGGGTGGTGGCTGGACCCCACCTCCCAGGGCAGCTGGGGCGCCCGCTGCACCCGCCAGGGCCGACACAGCCTCTCCCTCAGCCACCTCCTGGTCGTAGCTGTAGGGGTCTTCATAGTGCCACTCAGGGTCCCCCTCCTCAGTGTCCGAGAGGTTCCCGTGACAGCCAGGAAGCTGGGAGCAGATGAGTTCTCCGCCAGTGTCGGGGCAGTGGCACGCCCGGCAGGCTGACAGGTGGATGGTGTGGCCAGCAGGGTACTTCCGGCCAGAGTGGACGCAGCCCACCTGGCCACACTGCGGGCAGCTGTCAGCTGCCACTATGGCCTCAATGCAATTGGGTGGCAGCTCCGGGCACAGCATGAACTGGCAGCTGATTTTGCCACCGCCCGGGGGGCAGGAGCACTCTGTGCTGCCAAAGTCCACGAAGTAGGACTGGCCAGCGGGCACACGGCCATCCACAAAGCCGCCCTGCACACAGTCGTAGTACTGGTAGCCCTCGCAGGCACAGCCATGCCGCACGCAGGTGGCACAGCACGCGCCCGGCTCCAGCGCCTCCTCAATGCAGTTCTCCAGCAGAGGGCACTGGGCACCCGTGCAGTCCTGCCACGGCCCTGCCACGGCCAGGCTCGGCCCCATCGCCACGGCCAGGGCCACAGCCAGACAGAGTCCTGCAGGCTCCCGGAGCAGTGCCATGGTCCCGCAAGGCCCTGGGGATAGAAAAGAAGCTCATCAGCACTGGGACACATACCCAAGCCAGGGTACACCATGGCACACACACTCACGACTCCGCTGGGGTACAGAGCCACCAAAGCAGGTGCCATGACAAGCCCCACATCCACTCTCTCAAGGCCACCTGACCTGCCTTACTCACAGACCCACACAGACACTCTGGGTGTTTTGAGACAGGGTCATGCATGGAGTGCAGGCGGGCTCTGAACTCACTATGTAGCCCAGGCTGGCCTCAAAGCTGTGGCAATCCTCCTGCCTCAGCCTCCCAGGTGCTGGGGTTGAAGGTGTGCACCACCATGCCCGGCTCAGACCCTCCAGTTGGGCCCAGTGCCCACACACTCAGTGGGCACTCAGGGTCCCACCCAGCCCCACAGCCCTCCCTGCATGGATGTCCTGTCATGTGCAGGATACGCCCAGTCCCAGTCCCACACACGCGCCTGCACACCCGACAAGCAGAACAATTTCTCTCCTCTGAAACTCTGGCTCAACTCCTAGCCATGGCTGCTGGCCAGGGGATGTGGTCAGGGGTGCTGGGCAGGAAGGAGCTGCTCCCCCAGCTCTGGCGCAGCCTTTTACCCTCCCCCGGAGCCCCGGCTGCTCCTGCCCACCTCACCCAACACCTGCCTGGCTCCCACCCCCTGGGAGCATCCACAGCCCTGCCACCCCCAGCCTCCCCTTCCCCGGGATGCAGGTGACAGGCGCAGTGGTCCTGCCTATGGGCACAGCTCGCCCACCTCTCCATCCCTGGACACACCAAGCCTCCTCCCCTGCCCCCGTTACTTTCCACACGCCACTCAGTGCACCTTCTCTCCCTGGATCCCACCCCCAATCTTTACCCTTGGGAAGGTTACAGGTGCCCACGGCCCACGGTGACCTGGGGACCAGGACCCACCCCGGGCTGCCCCCACCCCCAAGGTGGTGTTAATGATGGGACTTACCTTGCTAAAACCACTGTTTTTCTTTTTCTTTTTCTCATTGAGTTTATTTTAGGGATACAGTACAGTTACATTCGTCATTGGGATCTTGGACCTCTACATGACAGGTCTTGGTTCTCGTTTTTCCCCTTGTCCCTGCCCTCCCTTCACCCACTCCTCCCATTCCTATTTACAAATACTTTATTTCCATTTTCTCCTATTTTTTTCTTTTCCCTTATTCCCTTTGCCCTACCCCTCCCACTTCCCCTACACCTTTAGCACCTTTAGTGGCACTCACTTAAAAGCATCTCTAGCTCTTACACACGTCACACTGAGCTAAAAAGTAGTTTTGTAAAAGATGCAGGCAAGCGGGGAGAGGTGCAGAGCAGCAGCACCGTGGTTTCCAGGGGAAGCCCCGGTGGGCAGCACCTCCCAGACCTGATCAGACCCAGGCAGGCGGCAGGATGGAGCCCCAAGGGCAGCGAGAGATGGCCAGTTAGTGTCAGCATAGCCCGAGGGCCCCCAGACACCCGGGGTTTCCCGGCCACTAGCGCAGGCTCCTGGCCGCCTTCCAAGGCTGATAATCTGGGACCGGGGACAGATAATCAGTGCACGTGCGGATCCGTGAGCACAGTGAAGAAATAATCAAAGGAAGAAAGAGCCCATGTCAGCCAGGGTGGGTAGAAAGGCTTCTCCGAGGAAGAAGAGGAGGAGGAGGAGTCTGAGCTGAGACTCAGTGGTCCAGCTAGGCAAAGTGTGGCAGTTGGGGAGGTGGGGGCACAAGTGCGAAGGGCCTGTGGCAGGACCAGCGAAAGGCAGATGAGGAGCAGCTGGGGCCACTGTGGCCAGAGCCAGACGAGCAAGCACAACAGAGGTGATGGCAAATCGATCGAGAGGCTCCGGCCCAGGCATACCCAGGAGCCCACTGGCGGGGTGAGGCCTGGGCACCGGGGAGGGCGGCGGTGGAGCCATGCCCAGCAGCGAGCAATGGGCAGAGGACAGTCAGGTTCCCAACCCCTGCCCAGCCCACCAGGCCTGCCCCGCTCTGCTCATCTGGGCCGGTGGCCACCCCCACCGTGGACTCACCCAGGCGATGCCACCACCCACTCCAGGCCCAGGAAGGACGCAGCACCGGGCCCTGGGCCTGACTGTGCTCTCTCATTTGCTGTGCACCCCAGGTGAGGCCCTGGCCCTCTCTGAGCTATTACTACAAGGGACTACTCTATACTATGTCAAATCACAGGACAAGAAATGCCCTTTCCTTCTCTGATTCTCAGGTAATTTCTGATTCTGATGAGAATAGGCTTAGCAGATCTAGCAAGTAAATAAATATACAGGATGTGCGCCATTCCAGTGGGATTTCCGATAACAATGGGCAACTGTCTGGTGTCAGGATGCCCGAGGCAATATTCAGGACCTATTCCTTTGCTGTGTATTTGAAATTCAGATTTAATTGGGCAGCCTACCTGTGATCAGGCAAGAAGAAAGTCTCATCTCTGTTTGCCCCTCGTAGGGCTTTAAAACTCCCCAACTATTCAGAGGGAATCTCTTGTACACAGCAGGTAGCTATATCCAAACAGTAGGTCTTGCAAATGACTGGAATGACAATGAGGAATAAACACAGAAGACACTGGTGACGTACCAGGATCAAACACGAGGAATCAGCGCCCCACCCCAGTCCAGCCAAAGGACAGGTGCAGACCAGCAGCTGCACCGTGCGCGGTGGGCAATGCTCAACAGCAAGATGTTCTACCCTGGCTGGCATTGGGGGGCCCTGGGCACACCAAGCCATGCTCCCTCTGTTGGCTGTGGCAAGCTACCAGTTCCCGTCCACAGGAGAGAGAAGGGCCCAGGTAAGGCGGAAGTCCTAGAACCCTCCTCCCAGACCTGGTCACCTCCTGAACGGCCTGGTGTCCTGGGTTAGAACTGCTTCTTCCCCGGGGGCTGAACACTGGGAGCCCCCACCCTCTTCCTGCCAGGTGGTCTGGTCACCCCTTGGTATATCAGTCCTGCTGAGTCCAACTGGACACCCAACTTTCACAATCCCCACAGCAGAAGGAGGGCAGAGTAAGCGACATGTGTCTCTCGGGCCGCAGGCCTGGGACGGGAATGCAGGTGAACTCTCGGGAGGAGGGACAAGTGGGCACCAGCCTGTACCAGAGGAAACCAGCCCTAGGAGGGCTCATCCGGTTCACAGTGAAGACCCAGGAGCGGCCACACCTGCAGCCAGGGACGAGCAGCTGGGAGATACAGGTATGAGTTCTGAGCCACCAATCCCCACACAGCTGGGACACACACGCACCTTCAGGACCCCACGGCAGCACCATGCCAACCACACACAAAGACAGACACACACCCAGCAGCAGCAGACACAAGGGCTGGGTCCTAGAGGTGGTGCAGAAACCCACTTCCAGTTGACAAATCACCCAGCGATCACCCAGACAAGCAAGAAAGGGATTTATTACAAATAATATCTGCACACTCATGTTCACTGCAATGTTATTTACAATGGACAAAAGTCAGAAGCAACCCAAGTGTCTGTCAAGGATGAACGATGTAGAAAACATGGTCCATCCATACAACGGAATCACATCAGCTTTAAAAGGGAAGGGAATTCTGGCACAAAGACCACACAAATGAATCTTGAAAGCGGTATCCTAAGCCAGTCACAGAAAGCCAAAAGCTGAACATTTCCACTTATCTGAGATCTCTACAGTAGTCAGATTGATAGAGCCAGGCATGATGGTGCACGCCTGTAATCCCAGCACTCTAGAGGCTAAGGCAGGAGGATTGCCATGAGTTTGAGGCCAGCCTGGGCTACAACATGAGTTCAAGACCAGCCTGGACTACAATGCAAGACCCTATCTCCAAAAACTTAAAAAGAAATTCATAGAAGACAGAAAGTGGAATGGTGCCTACCGGAGGTGGGATGTCAGGTGTGGAATGTTACTGTTTAATGAGGACACTTTCTGTTTGGGATGATTACAAAATTCTGAAAATAGATGATGCTGATCAGTGCACAACGCTGTAAGTTTACTTAATGACACTGAACTGTGCACTTTAAAATGGCAAATTGGCCGGGCGTGGTGGTGCACGCCTGTAATCCCAGCACTCGGGAGGCTGCGGCAGGAGGATCACTGTGAGTTCGAGACCAGCCTGGGCCACACAGTGAGTTCCAGGTCAGTCTCAACTACATAGTGAGACCCTGTCTCAAAAAACCAACAAAACAAAACAAAACAAAACAAAATGGTAAATTGTATGTATATTTTACTCAAAAAAGTAACAGCATAAGTGGACTACAGAGCCAGAAGTCAATCTTCTCGTTGCGGGGAGAGGAACGAGAAAGAACTGCATCAAAGACCTGGCAGGAAATAAAGGTGGCTCCTGAGACCTTCCCGTGATAGTAAGCTTCCAGGCACCCAGGCCAAAGGGAAATTAGCGGGTGACCCAGTGCTCCTTGTCTGATAAGAGGAAGTCATCTAGTTCACTGGGAAACATAAACTTGTTCTTGGCACAAGACCTCAGGGGTGTTTTCGCTGGAGATCAGGTTCGTGTTTAATTATCACTTCCTCCGGGCTGACAGAATGCCAGGCGCCAGTCTGCAAGGTTTCAGAGATGAGTGTTTCGTTTCACCACGCTGTCCAGGTGAGGAAACTGACGCCGGGCATGGGAAATGACCTGCCAGGATCACATGACCGGAGAAAGGCGACATGGGAATGGGAAGCCAGGTCCCTCTGCCCAAGAGGAAGGGCCGCGTCCTGCACCCCAGCGCATTCACCTGCCAGCCACTAGGACAGGGCGGACATGGAGTGAACGAGACCAGAGGGTCCCAGCCTCACTTCACACTCCACGGGGGCGGTGAGGGCCAGCGCTCAGTCCTGGTGGCAGATTCCAGGCCACAGAAAGCAGAACCTGAGGAAACCTACAGGAAGTTGTTTAGAAATCACAAAGGTGGGACCAGAAGCCCAGCCCAAGCAGTCAGATTCCTAGGGAGGAAGGAGGGGCTTCCAGGGGCAGGCGGGTTCTCTGTTTCACACAGCTAGCGGTTAGGATGTCTGTCCGCCACCATGCAGGGACTGTGCAGTACATTTTTCACTATAAAAGAGCTTTTTCCAAGAAAAGAAAGAAAAAACAATTGCAGTAATTTAGAAAAAGGTAACAAAAGCCAGAGAGGGCAGGGTACTGGCAGAGACAGAAGGGAAAAAGGAGAAGGGATGTGAAGGTCACAAGTTATCAAAAGCCAAGTGATGGTGGAGCTTGGCTTCCGTCTTGAAAGCCTCATTTCCTTCACTCCCCGTGGCGGAAAGTCTTAATAACTGCAACAGCATCAGGCCAGCCACGAAGGGAAGAGCTGCGGGTCGCGCTTTGGGAGCTCCCTGTGGTGGTTCAGAGAGCATGGGCAGGCAGCCGGCCAGGGAGGCTGGCCAGCCCCAGGGCACAGGGGGCCTGAGATCCAGGAGGAGAGAGAGGTGCCCAGGGTCACCACAACTGGAGTACTAGCTACTCTGGAGGCTGAGGCAGGAGGATTGCTTGAGCCTGAAGTCTGGGCCAGTGGTGGCGACTCAGCACAGCCCCACACAGGACTTGGGGTGCTGGGAGTCTGGGTGAGCTCATGAGAATGCTGGGAAAAATAATCCTCCAAGCCAGGTTGCCCACCCCTCCCTTCACACTGCTCCCTAAGAAAGGAAAAAGCAAAGGAGTGCAAAGTCCCTTGTGTGGTGGGAGATCACTATGCTCATTACCAGCACAAGCAGGTGAAAAAATGAGAGATTAATGTCCATGACTCTCAATCAGCCTCGAGAAAGAAAATGTTGCTTTTGGCACCAGAGGGGCCTGATGTTTTCCTTCCCCACATCCCCACTCTGTGGAGAGGAAACGTCCCAGGGCGGAGGCCCAGCAACAGCCCTGCCCTGCCCCGCAAGGCGGCCAAGGCTGAGCTCAGGCTCCCACCTGGCGCTCCACCCCCCTCCCTCCCACCCTCCCTCCAC